AACAATCTTCCTACACCCCTTGATAACACATGCATGCAAAATAACCAACTCCCATACCCAAGGATGAAAACCTAGTGAGTTTTCCTTGTTAATCTTCCAAGATTTGGGCAACAATTGAAGAGCAAATTGTTGAAGAACTCTCTCCCACTCTAGGGCACTCTTTAACCCTCAAAATATCAGTGTTTTGCTCAAAATAGGGTACATATCGTTTATTTAACGAGGTATGGTTGGGTTATAAAAATCCAAATATGAAGCTCCGAAACAGGATCTCCGGTCACATATGCGGCCGTATAACGTATCTCCGGTCCGCGAAATGGACCACATAATTGCCCTCCGGAACTGGGCAAAACTGACTCAGTCTGCGATCATTATGCGGCCCGTAAACCTGTTCTACGGTCGCATAATGCATCATAGAACTGGTCTGCGGTCGCATAATGTGCCACAAACCTGATCTCCAAACTTGCCTAAGTTGCTTCACTCTGCGACCATTATGCGGTCCGCAGAGTGATTCTGCAGCCGCATAGTGGGCCGCAAAAATGTATTTTTCTGTCCAAAATGTTTCTTTACTCACCAGCGCATTGTTCAACCCAAATACGTAAGCCTACTTTGGCACCACGAAATCTTCAATTTCTTTGTGAAATTTTATGGGGCCTTACATTCTCCCCCACTTAGGATCATTCATCCTCGAATGAGGGTCAAAATCCGTCATTAATATTCAATGTGTCCTAACTGTTAATTCATGCACAACAGTAGTTTCAAATTTTGGGTAACTCCTTAAATTTCCAAAAATTTCGCCAGAGTCTCTCATGTAACTGGGCTTATCCCCATGTTAGAGAATCCCTAAAACCAATCCTAACAACATATATACATAACCGATGATGCTATATAACACAAGAACAACACCAATTGTGGCCTCATAAGCAATATATAACCAGAAAAGGAACACCCTTAACATCAACTGTACAAATGATACATAATTCATAGAAGGTAACTCTTAGAATTTTCATAGACCACAACTTTATAAATACATGGCTATTCAAACAAATATGGATACTTTTTCTTCATTTCTTCATCGGCCTCCCAAGTAGCCTCTTCAACTTGTTAGTTTCACCATAGCACATTCACGGAGGCAATTTCTTTATTTCTCAACTTTTGGACTTGCCGATCAATAATAGAAACTGGAATCCCTTCATAAGTCAATTTCTCATTAACCTCAATAGTCTCATCCGGAACAATGAGTGTCGGGTCTCCAACTACTTTCTTCAACATAGACACCGGAAATACGGGGTGCACTAATGATATCTCAGGTGGTAGCTCAAGCTTGTACGCCACCTCACCGATCCTCTGAATGATTTTGTATGGTCTGACATACCTCTGACTCAATTTCCCTTTCTTACCAAATCGCATTACACCTTTCATGGGGGAAACCTTCAAGAATACCCAATCATCTTCTTTGAACTCTAAATCCCTACGACGAACATCCGAATAGGACTTCTGACGATTCTGAGCAATCTTCAATCACTCCTTAATGATCTTAACTTTTTTCATAGCCTGATGCACGAGGTCTGGTCCTATCAACTCTGCTTCTCCAATCTCGAACCACCTAATGGAGATCTACATCTCCTTCCATATAAAGCCTCGAACGGTTCTATCTGAATGCTAGCATGGTAACTATTATTGTAGGCAAATTCTATGAGTGACAAATGATTATCCAAGCTACCTTTGAAATCTAGAACACAAACGCGCAACATATCCTCAAGCGTCTGAATAGTCCGCTCTGTCTGCCTGTCAGTCTGCGGGTGAAAGATTGTACTAAGATTTACCTGAGTACCCAAACCTTGCTGAAATTTCTTCCAAAACTTAGCCATGAATTGTGCCCCCGATCAGAAATGATAGAAACTGGAGTGCCATGCAACCTGACTATTTCTTTGATATACAACTGTGCATATTGTTCCACTGTATCAGTAGCCTTAACCGGTAATAAGTGTGCTGATTTCGTGAGTCGATCCACAATCACCCAAATCGATTCAAACTTACGAGGAGTGTGAGGTAATCCTACCACAAAGTCCATATTAATCATTTTCCACTTCCACATTGGAATTTTTATATTCTGTGCCAGCCCACCGGGCCTTTGGTGTTCGGCCTTCACTTGCTGACAAATTTGGACATCTCGTCACAAATCGCTACATTCCTCTTCATATTTGTGCTTCCTTTCTACTTCGACACCACGTAACCTACTTCGGCACCACGAAACCTTAAATTCCTTTACGAAATTTTACGGGGCCTTACATTTGTGCTTCCTTTCTACTACCACATTCTGTTGTGGTGTATGGGGGCATGATGTTTGATGGGAAATGCCAAGAGAAGTAAGAAATTTTGCATAAGAATTTGCAGATCCCAACTCAAATGCATTATTGTGAACAACTAATTTTTAACCACACTCAAATTCTATATTATTTTGGTATAAATATTTCTTTTAGGTTTAATCTTGATATTTTAACTTTTATCTTACTCTTAATAGGTTATATTTGATAAAAGATTAAATTAAAAAAAAATACTACAAAAATACTCACATTCATAGAGTAGTAATTTTATTTCTAAAAAAAATTCATATATATATATATAAGAAATGTTGGTTAATCTTCTTTTAAAAAAAATAAAAAATAAAAAATAAAATGAAGTAAACGTACGTAAAAAAAAAAAATAGATAAAGTTTGGTAAAACAAAAAGGTCTGATTCTCATCTTTTCCCACGTCCCAACCCCCATATCCCCTCAATCACATGATCACACACAAACGCACCTTATAAAGTTATTCTTCTTTACATTATTATTTTGGGAGGGGAACCTGTGAGATCAGAGAAAGAGAAACGGGAATTTCACTCCCAACTCGTCGTTCAAGTTTCATCCCAAAACCCCAAAATTACCCCTTAATAGCCGCAATACAGTCACGAAATTACTCCCAACTCGTCGTTTCAATTGCTGAAATTTCAGAACTCCGGGATTATTATTTTAGCTGTTGAGCCGAGGTTGCTGTTTGGAAGTCTTTGGCCGCGGTCTAGTTTTTTCGGCTGAAATTCCGTTGTTCGGAATATTCTGTCTTCTTTTACTTCGTCAATAAAGGTCCTTTCTCTTGTTCTTTACTTTATTCAATATTCTCAATCTCCTATTTTGGATTTATAAAAGGCATGTGATATGTTTGCTACATTCTAGCCCTTCTGTGTTTCTTTGTAAAATTGATTGACATGTTAGAGTTTATTCTTAGGTGGTAAAGTCACGTAAGGATTAGAATTTGGATCTTTAGTTTATTCTCATAATTTTGTTAACTTGGTATTTCAAGTTTGAGATGATAGATAGTTTAATGGATAGAACTTTCCTTTATGTGGGTTTGATTTGGAACTAACTAATTAAAGTTTATATTTTTATTCAGTTGATTCACCTTTTGCACTAAATATTTACTGATGGTTATCATTATGTGTTTATTTGAGTTGTCCGATTATTCATCTACACTGTTATTAAAAAGGAATAAAGAGAAGTTCTTTCCATGGGGTCAATGGCTTTGTAATATAATTAGGGTTTGGTACGTCCCTTTTAAGTGATAATTGAATCTATAAGTGTAGACGACTTGTGAATAATACTAAATAGTTAAATTTTACACTTCTTTCACAATTTCATATTCATAAATCATGGCCTCACAATAATTTCAAACAAGCTTAAGAAATTAATCAACTCACAAAAGCGTTAGAATGTTTTAGGCGTACTTTTAATTAATCAAATCATCATGATTATGTATACGTCCGCGTGACATAGTTATAATTTTCCAAATTAAAGGTAAAGTATGCGTTTGCGCGACTTTGACAAAACAATCTTAAAAATAATAAAGTGTTATTAATTGTGTACACGTACGCGTGACATGATTCTTGACACACTAAACAAAACGAATACACGTGCGCATGATTCGTTTCAAGATGATTTCATAATTACAAATAATCAAGTAATTAGAAGCGGTTTAAGGCAAAATTGCATAAATTTCCCTAGAACATTAAAATATCCAGAATTAGTTAAGCCGGATATAAATATTAAAGCAACCGTATTAGAACCATGGAACTCGGGAGTGACTCGCACCTTCTTCCGGGTTAACAAAATTTCTTACCCGATCTTCTGTGTTTCGCAGACTTAAACATAGTCAATTTTCTTGAATTGGGATTTTAAAATAAATGGTGACTTGAAACACCGTAAATATTATTCCAAGTGGCGACTCTTTAAAAATAAAATAAATTAATCCCTTTTCAACTAATGTCACTTAAATTGAAAAAACTCCTCCCTTTCCTCGTAAAAAAAGAGGCGTGACAATTATCAGTCCTGAGTGTTTGAACTTTGGCATGGAACTGGGTTGAAACCATTGCAATAATGGCTTTGATAACTGAAAAGGCATTGCTCTTGCAAGATAATAGGTGGGTCCAAGTGACTCTGCTACAGTCATCTACAATGGTTAAGAGGTATCTGAAACTATTGTAGGTAATTGTATGGTAAAGGCCCCAAAGATCAACATGGACAAGCTGGAAAGGGTTGGTAGAGTGGGTGGAACTATGAGGGAAAGGTAATCTTTGTTGCCTTGCCATTGGGCAGATTGAACAATTAAAGGATTGCTTGGAAGAAAAGGTAAATGTGCAATAATAACTGAACCATGTACGAGTGTTAATATTCAATATATTTAAAAAGTACCGAACCACTAAACATAATATATATTCAGTAAATATCACCATTATAATTGTGCCCGACGACTTGTCATGTTTTCAAAACGATCAATGATCGCATCATTAGGTACACTTTCAAATACTTCATCTTTTATATAACAAACTAAATAGTCATTTATAAACTCATCACCATTTCTGCTCCGCAAGTCATTTTTGATGTATTTCATTGAAGAAAAAGCTCTTTTTACCGTTGCAGTAGCGATAGACAATATCAAACTCAACTTTACAAGCAAATAAACAAGTCCCTAAGTCTTGTGCAGCTCTATTTCAACTAGTATTTCTGAAAGATCTCCAAGCCCTTTCAAGTTAGACAAATTACGGTCTTCTCTTACATAAAGAATATAGTTGTCAAGATCGTAGCTAAGATCTTCAAGCGTGGAAATACTATACTCATGAGAATAAAGTTTAGCAAGCTTCATAATTCTTTCTTTATCATAATTTGCAAAAAAATTATCCGGACTCAAACTAGCCATACTAAGAAGTAGATCACTATTCACTACATCAAAATGACTATTAAGTTCTGAAAGCTGCAAATCAATGACAACATTAAAAATATCTATACGCAAATGATGAGAGTATATCACACTTGAACTCCTACGCTTTGACTTTCCAAGATGATTGTTCTTATCCATTTCAGGGATCATAATACCATGTTTGGCACAAAATGAAGAGGCATCGGCTATCAAAGATTCCCAATTAGACTCTCTCATTGATTGCAATTGGCTCTTGGCAAAACCAATGAACTTCATAGCATTTACAATATTCCGATCTTTTCTTTGTAAAACAATATTCAAATCATTTTGTAATTGCTAATACTTTTAACATCAAATGCAATAAATGCACAAACTCAAAATATCTTATGTCATTCACTAGACTTTTTTCCATTGATCTCTCGAGATAATTTGCACCTTCACTTGCAAGAACTTCAAGAATATGAATATTTGACGAGAATAATGCAATAAAGTTACGCACTATCTTAAAATGAGATCCTCAACGGGTATCTCCTGGCCTTTGAAATCTAAGTTCTTGATTTTGTGTACTTCCCGTATCAACTTCACCAAGCATAAGCAATTCCTCTAGTTTTTGTGCTTGATCCTCTCGGAGCATCTACCTGCGCTTAAAAGAACTTCCAATAGTATTCAAGACATTAGTAACAATATCAAAAAATTGATCCACATCATAATGTTTCTTTGCAACAGCTACAAGAGTCAATTGCAATTGATGAGCAAAGCAATGTACGCAATAAGCTGAAAGAGTATCTTTCAAGATTAACGTCTTAAGCCCATTGATTTCTCCTTGCATATTACTAGCTCCATCATAACCTTGTCTCCGTATTTGTGGTCGACTTAATGAACGCTCTAAAAGCAAAGAATAGATTGCCTTTTACAATGACAATGCAGTTGTATCTTTAACATGAACAATACTAAGGAATCGCTCAATAAATTTTCCCTCTTTGTTGATGTATCACAGAACAAGAGACATTTGTTCCTTATGAGAGACATCCTTAGATTCATCAACCAATATTCCGAAATAATCTCCATTCATCTCTTTAACAATAGCTTTCATTGTTTCTTTTGCACTAGCATTCACAATCTCTTTTTGAATATTTGGAGCAATCATCATATTATTCCGTGGAACTTTTTCTAATACAATTTTTTTTCACTTCATCATCTCTATTTGCATACCATTGCAAGAGTTCTAGAAAGTTTCCTCTTTTTGTAGATGTTCCACCTTCATTGTGGCCTCGAAAAGGCATTCCTTGTTTTATGAGAAATCTGGCCACATCAATCGAAGTAGTCAATCGAAGTCGATACTCACTTTTAGCTTTCTCAGACTGCTTGTCAAAAGAGGTTAAAATTGATTGTTCCTGATTCATTAAATCTCTCAAACATCGATTGTGAAGACTATTCACTTCACCAATATGTGCATTAAACCTTTCTGTAGATTTATTCCAAGCTTTAAAACCACTCTTTGTAAAAGAATCCCCGACCTTTCCATGTCCTCCATGCTCATTTTTAAATAAGTAGCAACATAAGCAAAATGTCGCATCAACTTTAATACTATATTCTAACCAACCCGAATATGAATTAAACCACTCCGGATTAAATTGACGCATTAGTCCACCAAAATTTTTTTTGGAAACTTATGATTACGAGGTTGACATGGTCCTTCTTTAATATAATATCTCCTCACTCGGTCACGCAGATTAGGAGAATATTCTGAGATTTGCTTTCTTTCAGCAGGATCAGGTTTAAGATCCAAATTCAACATTTCATCTTTGTTTAATTCTGTTGAAGGCTTAATATTATCATGAATAATTGGACATGGAGAAGTACTTGGAAAAGGAGAGCTAGTACCGGAACTTGGAGAAGTTGGAATAGCCTTGAAAAATCTCGTGATCGTCATATATATATAAGAAGCAAAGTGTTCCCTACAAAATTGATTTTGAATAAGACAGTCAGTCATCTATTTTATTAGAAATTTTCAACAATCATCTTCTCTACATTGAAATGTCCAACTAAACTAGTTACATATTAACCAACTTTATTATCAATATAAGTTTAATAAATTATCCCAAAAAAGTGTTTAAAATCTTATAGGGTTACATACTTTTTTAAGAATATTAAGTATTTAAGACTTAAAGCTAGTAACTTTCTTCTCTATACGTTAATCATTGAGAGAGGAAAATGGTTTTTTTTCTAATTGCTAGCAAAAAACTTCAAAAAAAAAAAGAAATAAAGTATCCATAAGAAGTAGATAATGAGCAATTGTACCATTATTATAGCTTATAATATATAAACTACATCATAATAGAGAATCATAACCATAGAGCCATAGATTTGTACCAGCAAAATCCTAACTTTAGAAGTTTGGGGTTGAAGAACTTCAATTTCTTAATCTGATATGTGCCCGAGAAGAATAAGACTCCCTTTGATTTTTTATGTTTTTGAAAAGAGTATAAAAGTCCATTATATCAATGAAGTACAATAAAAAAAGTATTTAAATGATTAAATGGGTCCATAACTTTTAGACAACATGAAAAGATCACTATTTATTTAATTTAATAAAAAGGAACAAAGGGATCCCATGTGCTGATGTGTTACAAACTAAGAAAAGGACAAAAAAAGTCCCCTACTACTCTAATACAAAATAAAGTGAAAGTGGGGAATAAAACTCAGGTCTCCAGCAAGGAACAGAAGTAAGATGAAGTTTTCCACCACTGAACCCATAGCCTCTTTTAGTTTATGGGTTCCTAGTTTAATATATAACCAAATTTCGCTGAATTTGTACAATATATGCTCGATTTTTGTCGAAAGTTATGGGTTTATTTGAACTCGTACCAAATATGCTAGATCCGCCCATGTGAGTTGTACGAAAGTTAATGCACATAAATCAAATTGTAAGNAAAGTTGATGCACATAAATCAAATTGTAAGAAAATGATGGTGCTAACAGCACATTAGTAAGAGTAATATCAGGAAATAAAGTGAAAGAACCAAAAGAAGTCTCTTTGACTTTATACCCATTAGGTAAGGTTACTAGTGAAGGAGAAAGTAATGGTTCTATGTTATGTAATAGATATTTATGTGGTGTCATATGATTGGTAGCTCCAGAATCCGAACTCCAAGAACTAAAATCTTTACAAGTAACATGACACACAATGTAATCATAAAGTCTACTAACAGGATTATTGTGCCAACCTGCAAAATTAGCATACACTTGATTTCCCTGAGAGGAGGTACTATGAACATAAGATGACAGTTGAGCTTGCTAGAATAAAGACATCATATGTGCATATTGCTCTTTGGAGAATCCATAAGGAGGAGCCTCAGACTGAGATGGTTCAGGTGGAGCAGAAGAGGAAACAGATGAATGAACTACTTTAGCACAAGAAACAGATTTCTTGTTCTTAGTGAATTTGAAATCTGGAGAAAAACCATGGAGTTTATAGCATTTGTCCATTGTATGCCCTGCCTTTTTGTAGTACTTGCAAAATATCCCAGCTTTCTTGGAATCAAAACTGACTCTTTGAATGTAAGGTCTTGGATATGTGAACTGAGATGAGCCAAGATGAGGGACTGAACTTGCAATGAAAGAAGTGAAATCAGGCGAGAAATGAGAAGAGTCAGAGTGAATTTCTCTCTGCTTCTCATCTCTGATGAGAATAAAATAAGCCTTCTCAACAGATGGCACATGACTCATCATGAGAATATTACTCATAATAGTGGAATAGGTTTTATTCAATCTAGAGAGAAATTAAATAAGTTTTTGTGCTTCTGTAAGGTCATGCATGGCTCCACATGTACAAGGTTGTCCCAATGAAAGAGAATTAATTTCGTCCCAAAACCCTTTGAGCTTGGTGTAATAGGTGTCAATGTGAGAACAACCTTGAGTAGTAGATAATATAGCTCGTTGAAGACTATAGTACTATGAGATATTGGCAACATCATATCTTTCTAACATATTGTTCCATGCTTCCTTAGCAGTTTTGTAATATAGTATTATTTTAGCAATATTAGGCGAGAGCACATTTATGATCCAAGTTTTAACTATATTGTTGCATCTCAACCAGTCAAGATGAAGTGGAGAATTAGGATTGGGGACAAAGTAAGTTCCATCGATTAGTTGAATTTTATTCTTAGCTGAGAGTGAGATTAACATCCCTTACTTTTACTCGCTAAACCCCCACACCAGAAAAAGGAACCAAAACTAACACAGTCCCGGGGTGTCTGAATGATGAAGATTGAGAGAATGAAAAGGATCGAGAATGGTAGTCGAATGACTACCAGCCAAATCAGAAGTAGAGGATGACTCAGTAGCAATAGGCATATTGACACACAATTAACAATCTTCAGTTACTCATGAAAACAGCACAATTATTTATCTTCAGTTACTCATAAGGAACATTATGTGTAACATCAGATGCAAGAGAAAGAGAATCAAAAGAAAAAACAGGAACACTATGGTTTTATTTTCTAATTGCCAGCAAAAAACTTCAAAAAAAAAGAAGAAATAAATTATCCATAAGAAGTAGATAATGAGCAATTGTACCATTATTATAACTTATAATATATAAATTATATCATAATAGAGAATCATAACCATAGAGCCATAGATTTATACCAACAAAATCCTAACTTTAGAAGTTTGGGGTTGAAGAAGCTTCAATTTCTCAATCTAATGTGTGCCCGAGAAGAATAAGACTCCCTTTGATTTTTTATGTTTTTGAAAAGAGTATAAAAGTCCATTATGTCAATGAAGTATAATAAAAAAGTATTTAAATGATTAAATGGGTCCATAAATTTTAGGCAACATGAAAAGATCACTCTTTATTTAATTTAATGAAAAGGAACAAAGGGATCCCATGTGCTGATGTGTTACAAACTAAGAAAAGGACAAAAAAGGCCCCTACAACTCTAATACAAAATAAAGTGAAAGTGGGGAATAAAACTCAGGTCTCCAGCAAGGAACGTAAGTAAGAAGAAGTTTTCCACAACTGAACCCATAGCCTCTTTTATTTATGGGTTCATAGTTTAATATATAACCAAATTTCGCTGAATTTGTACAGTATATGCTCGATTTTTGTCGAAAGTTATGGGTTCATTTGAACTCGTACCAAATATGCTAGATCCGCCCAAGTGAGTTGTACGAAAGTTGATGCACATAAATCAAATTGTAATAAAATGATGGTGCTAACAGCACATTAGTAAGAGTAATATCAGGAAATAAAGTGAAAGAACCAAAAGAAGTCTCTTTGACTTTATACCCATTAGGTAAGGTTACTAGTGAAGGAGAAAGTAATGGTTCTATGTTATGTAATAGATATTTATGTGGTGTCATGTGATTGGTAGCTCCAGAATCCGAACTCCAAGAACTAAAATCTTTATAAGTAACATGACACACAATATAACCATAAAGTCTACTAACAGGGTTATTGTGCCAACCTGCAAAATTAACATACACTTGATTTCCCTGAGAGGAGGTACTATGAACATAAGATGACAGTTGAGCTTGCTGGAATAAAGACATCAGATGTGCATATTGCTCTTTGGAGAATCCATAAGGAGGAGCCTCAGACTGAGATGGTTCAGGTGGAGCAGACGAGGAAACATATGAATGAACTACTTCGGCACAAGAAACAGATTTCTTGTTCTTGGTGAATTTGAAATCTGGAAGAAAACCATGGAGTTTATAGCATTTGTCCATTGTATGCCCTGCCTTTTTGTAGTACTTGCAAAATATCCCAGCTTTCTTGGAATCAAAACTGACTCTTTGAGTATAAGATCTTGGATAGGTGAACTGAGATGAGCTAAGATGAGGGAATGAACTTGCAATGAAAGAAGTGAAATCAGGAGAGAAATGAGAAGAGTCAGAGTGAATTTCTCTCTGCTTCTCATCTCTGATGAGAATAAAATAAGCCTTCTCAACAGATGGCACATGACTCATCATGAGAATATTACTCATAATAGTGGAATAGGTTTTATTCAATCTAGAGAGAAATTGAATAAGTTTTTGTGCTTCTGTAAGGTCATGCATCGCTCCACATGTACAAGGTTATCCCAATGAAAGAGAATTAATTTCGTCCCAAAACCCTTTGAGCTTGGTGTAATAGGTGTCAATGTGAGAACAACCTTGAGTAGTAGATAATATAGCTCGTTGAAGACTATAGTACTATGAGATATTGGCAACATCATATCTTTCTAACATATTGTTCCATGCTTCCTTAGCAGTTTTGTAATATAGTATTATTTTAGCAATATTAGGTGAGAGCACATTTATGATCCAAGCTTTAACTATATTGTTGCATCTCAACCAGTCAAGATGAAGTGGAGAATTAGGATTGGGGACAAAGTAAGTTCCATCGATTAGTTGAATTTTATTCTTAGCTGAGAGTGAGATTAACATCCCTTACTTTTACTCGCTAAACCCCCACACCAGAAAAAGGAACCAAAACTAACACAGTCCCGGGGTGTCTGAATGATGAAGATTGAGAGAATGAAAAGGATCGAGAATGGTAGTCGAATGACTACCAGCCAAATCAGAAGTAGAGGATGACTCAGTAGCAACAGGCATGTTGACACACAATTAACAATCTTCAGTTACTCATAAAAATAACACAATTATTTATCTTCAGTTACTCATAAGGAACATTATGTGTATCATTAGATGCAAGAGAAAGAGAATCAAAAGAAAAACCAGGAACACTATGGTTTTTTTTTCTAATTGCCAGCAAAAAATTTCAAAGAAAAAGAAATAAATTATCCATAAGAAGTAGATAATGAGCAATTGTACCATTATTATAACTTATATTATATAAACTACATCATAATAGAGAATCATAACCATAGAGCCATAGATTTGTACCAGCAAAACCGTAACTTTAGCAGTTTGGGGTTGAAGAAACTT